AGTTATTTACCCAGGCGCCATGTAAAACATATGTATCGATTGAATCGCCATGTCGCCTCAAGCCTTCAAACCCTGTTCGCCAACTATGAACGCTGCCTTTGGCATACGTTTTATATAGACTGCATGCCTATCTAATGGATATCATTGATAATGTGATAAACCCGCCTATGGTATGACGGGATACAATATAGCGAATTTTATGTGATACATTCCTGTATTTTATGTAAAATTCAATTGTTTGTATACGAACGTTAGGGAATCATTTGATGAGGGAACTTCCTTGACTGCCCGAATATCCCGAGTTCTTTCTGTATTCATGTTGTTGCTCTCTTTGTCTGTATACCTTTTTATGAGCGAAAATATAGTGAATAATTAATTTTGTACATTTTATTAATATTATTTGGTCATGAAATAAAATGAAATACATATGTCCATGTTTCGATACCTGACGTTGAAGATCATGACTCTGAAAAGGTAGAGATGAGAGTTGGGTTATATCACTGACAACTGAAGAGGTAGTAAAAGAAAACTGACGAGAGATGGCCATGTGAAGCTTGAGCGGCCGGAGTTCACGATGAGGGTCATGAATTTCCTGCGGAGATTTCTGAAAAAAAAACTCATTTTGACGCCAATCTGTTTTTCTTATCGTATTCTTGTGTTCAGATCAGAACAACGAATAATTTCGTTGGAAAGAGCTAGACTATTACTATTTCCTTCTAGCCCTTGTCATCATCTGTTTCAGATTTGCAGCATGAGCAATGCCACTGTTGTCATCCGCATAAGGCTGCGTTCATACTTCGCGGCAGCGTGCACCAGCGTCCACCAGCGTCCACCAGCGTCCACTAGCGTTCCGAGCGTCCGGCAGCGTCAGCGACTAGGAAAGTATAGATATCGATCTAGCGTCTGCCAGCGTCTACCAGCGCATGGAGAAGAGAGTATGGCGCGATAGGAATTAGGGAGAGTGGCGTACCAACTGGTAAGCCTCTCTCTATCGCGCCATACTTTACACGCCATACCGAAAGAATGCCAACCTCCTATCTCCTCATACTCCACCAGCAGTCTGCCACACTCCTATCTTTTCATAGTGTCAGACGCACTATTCTTTCCTGAGCCCTTGAGACGCTGGGGTAGGGGATGGTAGACGCTCGAGGACGCTGGCAGACGCTAGATCGATATCTATACTTTCCTATTCGCTGACGCTGTCGGACGCTCG